GGCGAGACCTTCGACACGCGGCCCCTGCTCGACGCGCTCGGCCGGCTGCCCGTCGCGCTCCTCCATGACGTCAAGCTCGACTGGCGCGCGTACGACCCGGAGCAGAGGGCAACATTCGAGCGGGCGCTGCTCGGGCTCCTCGTGCTCTGGCACCTCGTGCGGCCGAGCGAGAACTACGCGGAGCAGGTCGAGCTCGCGGCGACGGTCGAGGGCCACGACGCGTACCGCGGCGCGGTCTCGGGCGCGGTCGCGTTGCAGCTCCAGATGGAGCTCAGCAAGGTGCCGCGCGCCAAGGAGGCGAGTTTACGATTTCGCCGCACGCTCCAGCGCAAGCACGCGCCCGAGGCGGTCTTGGCGTTCGTGTCGGCGAATATCCCGGCGGGCGTCGCGCGCCTTGTCGACCTCTTCTCGCAGCCCCTGGGCTTTGGCAACGGCGATCGGTTGATTGTAGAGAAAGCGCAGCTGGAGGCGCAAACTGAGCTCCCGGCGCCGAAGAACGTGGGAGATGACGCGGCGGCCAAGAAAAAGAAGAAAACTCGCCGCGGCGGCAAGAAGAAGCAAGCGGGCGCCTCCGCGCCCCGCGATGCGGACCCGCTTCCCGACGCCGCCGCGCCCCGCGAGACCGGTCCACTGCAGCGTCCGTGCCGACGCTGGAAATGGTCCAAGAAACTCACGCGCGGATCGCCTGTCAAAGTTACAGTCGTGGCCGAGCTCGGCTTTGTCATCTTTCGAGACCGAGGAAGCCAGTATGCTCGACTGTGGCAATTCGGAAGCGAGTCGCCAAGCGAGGCCTCCGTTTGTTTCGAGGACAAATGCTTCGACATGTCGACGATCACAGTTCCTCGCGGAACCTTTCTTGTTTTACACTCGCAAACGTGCCGCATGCCCTTGGTCACGCGCCTCGAGGACCACAAAGGCGCGAAAGACAAAACTATCGATGCGGTCACCGTCGGAAACGACGCCGTCTACTCGGAGCCAGCCTTCGACCCGAACTGCGCCGAGCGGTTCCGCGTGGGTCGGATCGCGTCCTCGTGGGCGGGGGGCGTTTGCGCCGTCGCGACGGTGCGAAACGGCCGGATGGCGTGCATCTCGACGATACACGATGACTTCGGCCCATTCGGCACGAGCGTTGCCACGCAGCCGATGGCGCACCTCGATGTTTGCTCGATCGAGGCCATGCTCACGCGGGAAATGGAGCCCGGCGACTTCACGCCCGTAGTCCAGATCGTCGACTTCGCAGCGAATCGCAACGGCCGTACCTACCGCCTCCTCGTATCGGACGGCAGCTGGTTCGATCGCTGCATCGGGTCATTGAAGCTCGTCGAAGAGGGTCAACTTGAACGCGGCTGCATTGTCCGCGTCGACAATTTCAGAATCGACGCGGAGGGCTTCGAAAAGCCGACGATCCTCCTGGAGAAGCTCACGGTTGTCCGCGCGCCCTGCGGGCTGGTCGGCTTGCCGACGTCCTACCCCGACCGCAAGATCATGCCCCCGTTGTCGTTGGCGAAGCTCCCCGACTGGGACACATCAAATCCGGACGCGTTCTTTTGCACGGCGACCGACATCGTCGCGCTCGCGTTCGCTACTCCGGCTCATCTGGTCGTGGCTGAAGCCGACGCGGTGAGGCTTTGGGTCCGCGCGGCCAGCGCGTGGAAGTGCGTCCGAGCGTTTGCCGAGTCGAATCACTGTCGTCACATCGCGTGCGCGCATGACTGGTGCGGCATCGGATGTCCAAGGTTCGTCGACTGCTACTGGCGAGACGAGGACCCCTTCGCTTCCGACCGAATCGCGACCCTCTCCCTCGGCGCGGACCTGCGGGCGCTCGTCGTCGTCGGCGCCTCGGAGCAGCCCTCCCATTCCCTCGCGACCCTGGACGCCGAGGGCGAGGTCCGCGTCTGGGCCCTCGGTCGCGCCGGCGCCAAGCCCACGAGCATCCAGCACGCCTTCTCCTTTTCTCCGCCCGCGAGGTTCGGCCCCGCGCTTGCGCTCGCAAGGCAGAAGAAGTCGCTCTACGTCGCGTCCGCCGTCGCAATCCACTCGATTTCCGTGGAGCACGATGAGCGATTTTTTGGGTTGTCGGCTTCTGACCTCGCTGAAAACGATCGGCGCGTAGCCGACGGCGGCGCGTTCGTGAACTGCGCTCACTGCCGGCGGTACGACCCGGAGCGAAGCCTCGTCTGCCTCGGCTGCCGCCGCGTCCGCTACTGCGACGCGACCTGCCAGCGCGCGGCCTGGGCCGAGCACCGACATCACTGCCCGGCGAGCTCGAGCTTCGCCGCGGGGCAAGCCACGCCCGCCGCGAGCCGTCCCGACGACGGCGAGGCCACAGACGGCGAGGCCGCGCCGCCGCCCCCTCGGGAGACGGACGGCGCGGCGGCGCGGGAGATTCGAGTGCACGTCAGCGTAAATGGCGCGATCGTCAA